AGCAATCAGTCAAGGACTGATTCAGCTCTGTGGGTTGGAAATCATCGAGGCAGAGGAGGCCGCGGAAGAGGAGGACGATCGGTACAGCGTTACAAAGCAAGACTTGTTGCTCAAGGATATTCACAAGTTCCTGGAGTGGATTTTGATGAGACGTTCTCACCAATTGTGAAGCAGACAAGTATCAGAATGCTTTTGGCTTTTACAGCGGAGTTTGGTTTGTGCGCACATCACATAGACGTAAAAACAGCCTTCCTTAATGGGAACTTGAAGGAGGAGATATTTATGCGGCAACCCCTAGGCTTTGAGCTTTTTGGATCACGGTGCTCCGAACTCGTCTGCAAGCTTCGCAAGGCTCTTTATGGCCTTAAGCAGGCTTCCCGTCAGTGGTATGAATGTTTGGATTCTTTTCTTATAGATCTCGGTATGCAGAGGTTGAACAGCGATGGAAATCTATATCTTCTTCAGCAGGGTGATCACTTTGTTGTGATAGCAGTTTATGTGGACGACTGTTTGATTGTCAGCAACAATCACGCTATTTTGAAGGATGTGAAGATCAAGCTTATGAACAGGTTTGTGATGAAGGACTTAGGAGCTGTGCGGCAGTTGTTAGGGATGGAAGTTGACAGGGATGAAGCAGACAGGACAATCACCCTCACACAGTGCCAATATGTGAAGAAGCTTCTCAACCAGTTCAACATGACAAGTTGCAAATCCGTGGCTACGCCAGTCGTCACTGGCATCAAGTTCACAAGCAAGATGGATGATTTATTTGATCAGCCCTCGGTCTACCGATCGCTTGTTGGAGGACTACTCTACCTCGCCAACATGACTCACCCTGACATCTCCTTTGCCGTTGGTCTCCTCAGCCGATACATGCAGTCTCCGAGTTGTTATCATTGGCAGATGGTGAAGAGAGTTTTGAGGTATTTGAAAGGAACGGCTGCTCATGGATTGGTTTACAAATGCTCAGGTCAATCCAAACTTGTTCTTCAAGCTTACTGCGATGCAGATTGGGCTGGCAACTTGGATACACGACATTCAACCTCCGGAATTTGCTGCATAATTGCTGGTGCTCCGGTTTCATGGGGAAGCAAGAAGCAAATGACGGTTGCTCTTTCCAGTGCAGAAGCAGAATACGTAGCTGCTAGTACAGCAGCAAGGGAGATCATCTGGCTTCGTCGATTACTTGGAGAACTCAATCAACAGCAATCAGATGCGACCATTCTGCATTGCGACAGCAGAAGTGCAATCGCCATGTCAAAGAATCCTGTGTTTCATGCTCGTACGAAACATATAGACGTGCAGCATCACTTCATTCGCGAACACGTAGCAGCCGGAGATCTTCACCTGGAATACATTCCTTCACAGTATCAGTTGGCGGACCTTCTAACCAAGCCACTTTCGGAGCTCACATTCATCAAGCTGAGGAATCAACTTGGAGTGTCAAGCACACCCTCAGCTTGAAGGGGGAGTGTAGGAATAATGATGAACACGACAAGCAGTCCGAATCGTGATCAGATCTCTGGTGATTTCCGATTTGATTGAAGTTGTATATATATACAGCCATAAATGAATCAATGTGTGTTGAAGTGAAATCCATTGTTCTTGCTCCGCTTTTCTTTCTCTGACCACCTAGTCGGAGTTGTTTGGCAAGTTCATGCTGCTTTTTCTCCACCTGAGGAAATACAACCATAGCTGCTCAATTATAAGCTTAAGGAACGTACCTGAACCGACTGACCGAATGTTAGCCACAAAATTGGATCGAAACGCCCCTTGACTTGATCGTTGTCACATACTCGTTTGGCCAGGAGTGATGGATTTTGAAACGCGACTCCTCTCACCTCCTGCTCCATGGACTCCAACCCACTTGCTGCTTACAGGGGACCCCAGCAAGTCTGATACAACCCGCTCCAGCATCTCTTCCATGCCGAAAATGTGGTCATCCAGAGGAACAACATGCTGTTCTTCCTTTGGAACCACATTAGATGGCACCTCCTTTTGCTTCTTCAATGTATCAATGTTCTTCAGAATCTCAACGCCAAGATGTAGAGGAGCTGCAACCAAGTGCCCATGGATCGCCTTGGAGCAGAGATGGTAGCAAGTCTTATCCTGAAACAAAATCACAAACTCAATTCAGAAATATCCCAAAAGAAGCACAACCAACCTCTTTAGGCAATCTAGAATGGGATTTTGTAGAGACTGGCACTCAAGAACAAGAGGTTTAGCCTCTTCAACCTTGGCTTGGAGGGCTTTCAGCCAGGAATCCAGTTGTGAGGAGCTCAGAGAGCCCTCGGCAGCAGAATATTTCTTCATTTCACCTAGTAGACCTGATGCTTTGGTCAATGAAACTTCCAACTCGCTGCACTTCTCCTTGCAATGAATGGCAGACTTGGCAAGCCCAATCACTTCTTTAACAGCTTCAGAAACAAGCGCTCCCAGCACACCAGTGGGATCGAGGTTGGCCATGGATACAAGCCCTGTATTTTGCTCAACACAAGCATATAACGTTCTCTCGCTAGTTCATACATACAAAATGATGCAACACGTTTGCGCGTTTTCTAATTTTTTAGATGACACCATTAAAAACGGAAGAAAAGAAGACTAAAGCACGACTTAGTCTAGTCGTTTCAAACTGTGGCAAGCTAAGACTAGAGGACGTTGGTGTGAGTGGGCCACGCCACCCAAACCCAATCTTCTTCTTCTCTCCTTCCTCATTTGTTAGCTCTTTGTAGGTGGCAATGCAGAACACTTGGCAACTCGACTTTAGGCAACCAAACCGTGAAGCTTCTGTGCACTCACACTTTGAGCTTCTTCATGCTCTAGTACTAATTATTACAATAGCCATCTAAAGGTTCATTATCTTTAGTATTGACCTTTTTAACAATGTCATTGATCACACCACCATTTACTCTTTATTATTCATTAAACCTTCTTTTGTATTTCCTCTCAATGGATAACCTAGCTTTAATATTATTATTAATCCCCCACTAATTAATCATGCTTAGTCTAAAACAAAGCATGGTTTTGACTTTGACAATAGTCCACAATTTTCAAGACGCTGCTCAAGAACTTCAGATACTTGAGGCTGAGGTCGCAACAAATCCAGGACCGTTTTGATTCACAGGGAGGAGTAGCTCGAGGAGGAAGTAATCGAGAAAGGCAATCATTGTGAAGTGGAGAGTTCCAATGGGAATAATTGAGATCTTGGCAAGAACAACAGTGGATTTGGATATGGACAGTCATGAGAGATACGTGACTATCTTCGCATGCATGGCGTGGTTGATCGATTTCTGTTTTGTTTTGTTTTGCTAGCAGCAGCGCAAAGCACTATTCTTCCTAAGATCCAGGAAATCTCAAACGACTCCAGCTCCACCAGTTCCATCGTCTGCCAGCAAGAACAAGGCGACCAGCTCCGGGCACTTACCAACAGAATCTTTCGAAAGATTGGAAGAGACGATGGGCTCACCATCCGTAAGGAGTACCGCGAATGGACGATCAGCCCGCGAGATCGTTGAACGTTAACAACTCCTCATCCAGGAGCCTCAACGCTTTCCCACAATCGTGACTACTACGACGATGATCTCGGCAACGACGAGCCCTGCACAGCAGCATCTAGCCGAGCCTCTCATCGTTTACAAACATAACACGCGGTGGCAATGCAGAGCTCCAAGATTGCCGGGAAACTCAAGGTTTGGAGGATTCGCTCTCTTCTTCTTGCAGGGGGCGGAGGATCGAGTAGCTGTCATTTGGAAGCAGATACCGGCGATTCAGAAGCAGCATGAAGAGATAAAACAGTGACGAGAATGAGAAGTAGAAATTGAAGCCACCATTCTGCTTCCCACCAAGTGTCAGCCATTTCAATCTAGGAGGTGGCTAGTTTTTCGAAGTCCTATTAACAAGAGATCTGTTTAGAGCAACTCCGTGCACTGCATGCCCAAAACTCTTCGCTTCATACTAAAAGCCACGCACGTGAGATCGCACGATGAGCAACAGAACATTTTATTCCATGATAAATTATATAAAACTCACCTAAAATAAATTGCATGATAACAAATTATATTACAATTATATCAATGCACTTTCGAGCCACTGGCAGAGGACGGCCTAACTACAGGGCCCAGGCTCCATGGGCAAAAATGAAAACCAGGTACAATATTTTTGTAAGGCCTTGGATTTGCTCTTAAAAGGAGTCATGGTTTAGAACTCAATAGGCATGTGCTTTGGCTACCGATACCATCGTCTAAAGATGAGCGGGAAAGGCCGCATTGCTTCAATGCAGTAAGATGCCGATCCGAGCGCTCACCATGATCCAGGCGTGCCAGATTGACGCTCATCGTTGCCATATATCCTTGAGAGGAAGAGAATCAAGGAAATGGTGAAAACCATAAACACTTGATTGCAAGATGCAAATCTAAACTTGTTATTCAATATGGACGAAATTCAGCTGAGAGAATAGCACAAGAGTCTTTGGTGGAGTATATCAATTTACCGGTCAAGCTTGTTCAAGAACATTGGAATAACAAGTTTTCACATCCAAACTCAAGTAAGTAAAGTAGTTTTGATTTTAAAATTTCTTATTTATAGATGAACATCCTACCGAAGAGAAGATCAAAATCATATATGACTTCCTTGATGCTGAAACATTTATTCTTTTGAAGCGTATTCTCACTGTATAGATTGGGCTTTTTGTCTTTTCTTCTTTGGAGTTGAATTTCTTTCATAGCATGGATGTGCTTGCATAAAGGGCTTCAATCACACCTCAATGAGGACATATATCAACTACATACTAATTTTCAAAATTTATTACACTTAGCATTTTATAGCACGAAAATGGCTCTACCATCAAGATAGATTCTCTTTCCATTTATAAAATAATGTTTTCTAATATTTAAAAATTTAGAGATGACATTAATTTTGCAAGCTTGAGATCTAGTAATTTTACAAGCTTGAAATCTTGCGATCATTTTTATGTAGTTTCAGTTCAAGCTCTTTGCCTCATGTTCTTGTTTTCCAGCTTAAAACTATTCTGCTAAATTGAGAATCTTGTCCCTTTCTCTCTCGAGGACAACTTGATCCTTCCAATGTAGCTCTTTGCTAAGTTTCCCAGGTAGAGGTGATCTCCAACTTGGAGAGCAGATGTCACAAACGCCATTTCTTTTCCGGTCGGATCCTCGTAAAATTCAAGAGGCCTTCCATCTGGATCCACAGCCAAAACTTTAGCTGATTGTAGCGATTCATCCGGGAGAAAAGGCACCAGATGAGAGACGAGCTTCTTTAGTAGCGGCGAGTTTGAGATGAGCTCAATGTGCCATAGACGATCCTGTACAAAAAATTAAACTTTGGAACCAAAGTGGAAGAAGAAAGAATCTTCTAACCGATACGAGGGCGATCCAAAAATTCCCACCAGCGTTGATATGGATGTTGTCTGGAAACGCTGGCAAATTGTCCAGAAAATTCTCGATGCTTCCCATCTTTTCTCCTCGGAGCCAGTATTTTCTACACCTGGCTCTGTAATTAAACACAGCTGAGAAACAAGAGAAAAGCAAAAGGAAACTTACTTGGAGGTCTCGCAGAAAACCAGGTAATTCTCGTCGCGTGACAGCGCTACTCCATTTGGGAAATACAAATCCTTGAGCAACACCGATGTTGTTCTTGAGGATGGATCAAATTTTAGGATCCGGCCATTGGGTCGCGATTCCAAAATATCTAGCCGGCAATCAGCGACATCGAATTTGGTACTGGCATCCGTGAAGTAGATCGTGTTGTCTCGAGCTACGACCAATTCATCGGCAATTCTAGAGCAAGAGATCCAAAGTTCCCACACTCAAATAGAAAAAATCTCCACAGTTCTTACTTGTATTTCAATCCATCGGCCTCGTTTGAGAGAATCTCCACTCCAGCATCGGTCACATTCAAGAGCCCCTGCGATGGAAGGAATAGATTAGAGCGAAGGAAAAAATCTCTAAGAGATTCTCTCACCATGACCGGCTCCACGGCAATGAGCTCCCCATATTTCCCAATCGCCATGCCCAGAGGATGCCCTCCCACGTAGATCCAGTTCTCGATCCTGCCAGTCGCGGGGAAATATCGCTTGATCCATCCGTCCTTCCCACCGGAGTAAATCCGGCCCTCTTGATCCACAGCCAGATCCTCGGCTCCGGAGAAAAACCCAACCCCAATCTTCTCGACCCGCTGGAGCGCGGCATTTGCAGCGTAGATCCCCTGGCGCTCTGGAGCTGGATTCCAGGCAGCAGGGAGTGGATCCACTCGAGAAATTGCAAGAAAAAACGTGAGAATCGCAACGAGTAACAATGAGAGTGCTAAAAGGAGTTTGATCGCAAACATTTCTTATGGGGCAAAGAAGTGTTGATCACTTGAAAGAAATTTATCGTCTGCGATGAATCTAGAGCAGTGGAAGCTAGGACAAGTGGAGAACAAGGCGAAATCCATGACCTCGATAGAATAAACACGCAATGGATATCCCTCTGCCGCTTTTACATAGGCGAATCTTTGCGAAAGAATATTTTGAATCTAAATGGCGCCAAGAACAGTGATGCATAGGAGATTACGTTTTGTTCTTCATTGTCCCAATGAACCTATCGAGCCCACCAGCGAATCAAATGCTTGTTTTGCCACTCGATCGTTGCTCCACTTCCTCGACGCACCCAGCACCGTCCTCCAGGTGACATCATTCGGCGAGAAAGGCATCGTCTCCACGATCTTCATCGCTTCTTCCAGCTGATTCCCACGGCCCAGAGAATCGACCAGACAGTGGTAGTGCTCCAACACTGGATCGATCTCATACCTGGACACCATTGCCTGGAAAAGCCTCTTGCCTCGATCGACCAGCCCGGCGTGGCTGCAAGCCGCGAGGAGGGAAACGAAAGTCACCACGTTTGGTTTGAGGCGGCCTTCGTCTTCCAATTTGTGGAACTGGGAGAACACGAGCTCGGTGTTCCCCTCGCGGCTGTAACCTGCTAGCAGCGTGTTCCAGCTCACTAAATCCGGTTTAGGAATGGAATCAAATACCTGGTGAGCTCGAGTCATGCTTCCACACTTGCCGTAAGCATCCACCAGAGAATTTGCGACGATCTCATGGAACTCGTGACCGTAGCGGCAGATTTCTATGTGAACTTGCCGTCCACTTTGCAGCGCTGACAGATTCGCAGACGCCTTGAGAGCAGCCACAAAAGTTCCAGGATTTGGAGCCGGGCCCTCACGCTGCATACGAGAGAACAAGCTTAGAGCCATCGATGCTTCACCGTTTTCCACATACCCCATCATCAAGGTGTTCCAGGAAGTCACGGTGCGAAGAACCATGCGGTCGAAAGTTCTTCCAGCGTCCACCATGTTACCACACTTGGAGTACATGTCCACCGCCGCGTTCATCACAAGGAGGTCCAAATCAAATCCTTGTTCCTCGGCTTTTGAGTGAATGGCAGCTCCTCGCTCCAACGAGAGCACCTTCACGACCTTTCCATTAATTTTCTCGCCCTCCTCTTCCATCGCCAGGCTCGCGCAGGCCTTCAAAGCAGCAACGTACGTAAGAGAGATCGGGGCACAGCCTTCGCGTTGCATGCGGTCGAGCAACTCTAAAGCCAAGTGCTTACTTGCATCTTGTTCGGCATAGGCAAGAACCATCGTAGTCCAGGCGACAACGTCACGGTTCTTCATCTCCTGGAAAACCTTCTCAGCATCTGTCAAGCTCCCAGATTTGGCGTACATGTCGATCATCGTAGTTGCCACGAAAAGGTCCGAGTCATAGCCACACTTCGCCGCTTGAGAGTGAATTTCCATAGCCTTTCTCATGGTCTCAAGCTTGACGGTCTTGCCGCAAACTCGCTTGCCTTCTTCTTTCTCCGAGAGACAAGTGCATGCCTTGAAAGCAACCATGAACGTTCTAGCATCTGGCGAGCAGCCTTCTGAAGTCATCCGATCAAACAATGTCAAAGCGATTTGCGCTTCTCCACTCTCAACGTACCCAAGAATCAAGGTGTTCCACAACACAACATCATCGCGGATAAAAGTCCTCTCGAACAGCCTGCGAGCATCCACCAGGCTCCCGCACTTCGTGTACATATCCAGCATGGAATTCCTGACAAAAGAGTTCGTGTCACAGCCACATTTTGCAGCTTCAACGTGAACAAACATACCCTTTTCCAGCGAATCCACTTTCAAGAGCTTCCCATCGACGTGAGTTCCGACTTCTCTCGTCGCAAGGCTTGCACAGGCCTTGATTGCCGCCAGGAAAGTTAGATAGTCCTGTCCAGTGCACCGTTCCTTAATGTCCATAAAGATCTCGAAAGCTCTGCCTCCTTCTCCATTCTCTGCATAGCCAAGCATCAAAGCGTTTACAGTCACAATGTTATGAACCGGCATACCACTGAAGACTCTGCTCGCGTGATCGAGACCCCCACACTTGCAGTACATGTTTACCAGCGAGCTTGCCAGAAAAATGTCCGAGTCGTGCCTTCGCTGTGCAGCCTGAGCATGGATTGCTAGTCCTTTCTCTAATGCCAGAGCTTTCACCACCTTGCCGTCAGCTTTTCTCCATTCGTCTCGAGCAGCCAGTCCCGTGCATGCCTTGACAGCAGCAACAAAAGTCCGAGAATCTGGTACACAGCCTCCATCCGCTTCCATTCGAGAGAAAATCTCCAGGGCCAGTCTTTCCTCGCGATTCTCAGCGTACCCGAGAATCAAAGACGTCCAAGAGACGACCGTGTGGAGCTCCATCCTGTCGAAAACCATTCGAGCATCGGTCAAGCTCCCACACTTGGCATAAGTTTCTACCAAACCATTTTGGACGAAGCTATGGACGACAGGGTCCTCGTTGAGAGCCATGGAATGGATCGCCATTGCTTTCTCCAAAGCCCCGAGCTTCACGAGGAAAGAACTGTCATTCGCTTTCTCTGCGAGATTTCCAGAAGCCTTGAGTAGCGCAACGTACGTCAATCGATCGGCGGCGCAGCCCTGGGCTTGCATCGCCGAGAAGAGCTCGAGAACGATGCCGCCTTCGCCGCTCTCGGCGAATCCCAGCAGCAATGCGTTCCACGACACGACGCTGTGGCCGGGCATCCTGTGAAACACAAGGCGCGCATCCGTGAGGCTGCCGCATTTTCCATACATGCTAATCAGAGAATTCCATACCCGGATGCTCGAGACATCGCCGCGCTCGATCGCCGCGGCATGGACAAGCTTTCCTCTTGCCAGATCTCTCGAGCTGCCGCATTGCTTCAATGCAGCCAGCAAGCTGCCCATCCGAGCGCTCGCCATGATCCAGGCGTGCCAGATCGAGGCTCATCGTTGCCGCGTCGTCGCGATCGTAGCGTTTGAGAGGAAGAGAAATGTAAAGAACCCTAAGAAGAGAATTTAGGGTTTTGCGACACGGTTATCCATCGAATATACCCTTCTGTTCCTTGTGAGATGCATCAAATACGAAGACGAATGGGTCTTCATGATATTTGTAAAGTGGGTTATAAATTTTATGCGTTCTTTCTTATTCCATCAATATTGTATTTTGATCTTTCTCTCAAGATATATCTGAGATATATTTAAGCTTTGAAGCAACTCCATGGCTCTTTGCTGTATATTGTTGCGCAATATCCTATTTTCACAGGTATGAAAAGGAAAATAGTTTTTCTTTTTCACAGTATTTACTGAACTAGCTCGCCACAGTCATGGATCTTTACTTCTTTGATCGTTCTTCCTTCGCTACTCCCCAAGTTGCCCAGCGAGTCCAAAAGCTCAATGCCTGAAAATCAACGTAGCGAGAACTTTACACTGTGGTAGTAGAAGATAAAAAAGAAAAGTACAAAAGTACGAGCACTATACCTTGGATGACTTTGCCAAACACGACGTGCTTTCCATCTAGTTGCTTGCATTTACCCAAAGAGATGAAAAATTGTGTCCCTGAGACCGAGAGAATGGATCAAAGAAGAGATGAATCCAAGAGATTTTGGAAAGAACAAGGAGAATTTGGGACTATACCATTGGTGTGAGGGCCATTGTTTGCCATGGAAAGCGTCCCTTTGGAAGTATGCAAGAGCTTGAAATTCTCGTCCTCGAATCTCTTCCCATAGATCGATTTGCCACAATCTCCCCCCTGGGAAGAAGAATAGAAATCTCAGCGCAAGCTCGCACACAGATCTAGATCTCTTGCCTGCGCAACGTAGCCTGGCACAATCCTGTGAATGCTGCTCCCCCTGTAGCACGCGCCATACTCACCCGTGCACAGGCCCCGGAAATTCTCCGCTGTTCTTGGAACCACATCCTTGCGCAGCTCGATCACCAGGCGCCCCAGCGATTCCCCAGCTGCCGAGATATCCAGGTAGCACTTGGGATTATCCCGCGCCGCGCCCAGGACGCATCCCATCGACCTCTTCTCTTGTACGCCCTAGCAGCACAGCAGAGGAGAAATGCTGGATCCCAGATCGATCAGATCCATCGCTGCCTAGTGATCTAATCCACTCAAAGCTACAAAAATGCGGAAGAGCCCTAAAAATATAAAAATGGCGAATATTCTCAGCTTAATTAGAAGCCGTTAACTGCCCCGAAGTGAATATTCGTATATCAATAATTGTTATGTTTAAACCTATTCTTTCTTTTGATTTTCATTGCATTTCTTCTTCTATCAATGATTAAAGGCATCTAGGGTGAAACACCCTCAAACCTATTCTCAAACTTTAAATAGATAAAGTAGCCATGAGAATATTTCGAGAATGTTTTATGCCTCAGGTATTTAAAGTTGAAAAGGGTTGGGAAGTTGGCCTAGGGTTATGGCGTCAACGAAGAATGGCACAGGAATATCGGCGTTGATGCCCGAGCTTGTGGGACAAATCCTGTGCAAGCTTCCATTCTCGGGTGTTCTCACCTCCAGATGCGTGTGCCGCGCGTGGAAAGCAGCCGTGGACGAGCCCAGCTTCCGGAGCTCCTACAAGGACAGTGCTAGGTTACGCTACACGGAAACCAATTATATCCGGGACAGCAGTGGCAAGGTGATGCACTGGAAACCTCGCAGTGACAACGTTCCCGACTCGCTGTGTGTTGTCTCCCAAGACAAGCGCCTCGTTCTCGCTCGCTCTACAAAGGCCAGAAAACTCTACGTTGGGAATCCTTTTGCCAACAGGTGGGAAGAGATCCCTTTCTTGGACTTTTCGAGGATCACCAGGGTGATCCTCTTGGCCACTGCCGAGGAGTTCAAGGTTGTGGTGTGGTTCTGGAGTGGCAACATCCACACCTTCACTTGCGGCCAGGCAGAATGGTGTAAATCCATCACGATTGAAACCTCTTCACGGAGTGATCTGGTGCTCATACAAAACAAATTGGCCTGTATAGATGCCTCCCATCGTCAGATTGTTGAGTTTGATGTGGCGAGCAACACGATCACAATCAAGGATCTCCGTCCTGTCACGGAGGGTAAGTTCATCTGCTTGGCTAGCTGGAGGGAGAAGCTCTACATGGTGTGGCTGAAAGACAAGTGTATGTTTGTAGTTAAGGAGGTTTGTGCAAAGACAGGCAGTGAGATTGCTGTGGTGAGTATGAATGTGGTTCAAGGTTTGCAAGGATTGCATATCAGCTTTGGTGGTCAAGCAGATAACTACTTGAATTTTTATGGATATTGTAGTCATGTAAATGAAACGTACCTATTGTCATATGATTTAGATACAAGGTGTTGGGCTGATAGAATCTGTAATCCTTTCTCAACACCTCTGGATGTACAGTTTAATAGGTAATTAAATATATAATTGAGTTATATGAGTTATATGAAAATTTAAAACTAACCAATATACTCGGCATAAAAAATGAATATTCTCACACTTTACGAATTTAAAGTATCTAGCAATCATAGCCGTTGTTTGCAGTTCTTCCACATCCGTACGATCGTCCCATCTCACGCGCTCGGAATATCCCCGGGCATCTTCCAAGAAACCCTGGAAAAGAGAGAGGGCGAAATATTTCGATCGTCTTGCGCCGCGATGGCGAGCAACGCGAATGGCGGATTTTTCTCCGCGATTTCGAACAGGATCTCGAGCATTACGTCGTGGAGCAGCGCCACGGTCTCCAGGTGCGTATCTATCGATCAGATCCAGCGCCCAATTCTAGCTAGAGCTGAAGGAATCTCTGTCCAGTATGCTGGGCGGCGTGGAGGGTCTAGAGGTTATCAATCCCGAAGGCGGCCAAGAGGATGCCGAGAGCGAAGCACTCAAAGGCCGCTTCAAGCAAGAAGTAAGTCTTCCCTTGTTCTTTTTCTTGTTCTTTTAATACTTGTTTTTGTTTGTTTCCTCACTCTTTGGTCTTTACGATCGATAGGATCGTGAGAGCTACTGGAAAATGATGCACAAGTATATTGGATCGGACGTCACTTCCATGGTGACACTGCCAGTTTTGATTTTTGAGCCCATGACGATGCTCCAAAGAATGGCCGAGGTAAAGAAAAACTTTTTCCTTGAGGCAAAGCTGTAAATTCTATCTACAGTTGATGGAGTATGCACACCTTTTGGACCTCGCTGATCAGTGCGAAGATCCATACTTGAGGATGGTCTATGCTTGTAAGTGGTGAATTCTCTTTCTGGGGTGCTGATTCGGATTGTTTTCTTCTACAGCGTGCTGGGCTATCTCTGTATATTATGCTTACGAACGTGCGTGGAAGCCATTCAATCCTATTCTCGGGGAGACGTATGAAATGGTGAATCATAGTGGCATAACGTTCCTCGCCGAGCAGGTGCTTTTGATCTCCTCGCTTTTGTGGCTGGTCTTCTATAAGTTTTTGTTCTGTAGGTCAGTCACCATCCTCCGATGAGCTCTGGACATGCGGAGAACGAGCACTTCACCTATGACATCACCTCGAAGCTGAAAACGAAATTTCTCGGGAATTCTGTCGACGTTTACCCAGTTGGAAGGTGAGATTTTTGTTCTGGATGCCTGAAAATGTTGGCTGAGCCTCTTTTTTCTCAGGACGCGAGTTGTGCTAAAAAAATCTGGCGTGGTACTTGATCTAGTACCGCCACCAACAAAGGTGCACAATTTGATATTTGGCAGAACGTGGATAGACTCTCCCGGAGATTATGTTGTGACAAATCTCACGACTGGCGACAAAGTGATCCTTTATTTTCAACCCTGTGGCTGGTTTGGGTAAAATCAGAGTCTTTCTTTGATGTGCGTAGTACTTACTGTTTGTTTGCAAAGATCTGGTCGTTATGAGGTCGATGGCTACGTTTACAACAAGGACGAGGAGCCCAAGCTTCTGCTTACGGGGAAGTGGAACTCATTTATGAGTTACCAGCCCTGCGATTCCGAAGGCGAGCCGTTAGCAGGATCTGAGCTGAAGGAGGTGGGCGATATGGAGAATCGTTATATAGGGATCTTTGACCTGGTTGTAATTGATGCAGGTGTGGAGAGTAGCGGACGTTCCCAAGAACGATAAGTTCCAGTACACGCATTTTGCTCACAAGATTAACAGCTTCGACACGGCGCCAAACGGGCTACTTCCGTCGGATTCACGCCTGAGACCGGACCGTTACGCTCTGGAGAAGGGCGAGATGAGCAAAGCCGGCTCTGAGAAGTCAAGGTTAGCACACTTTTCTCTTTCGTTTCGAGCACTCTCGATTGACATTGACTTAATCCAAATGCTCTTTACTTAGGATGGAAGACAAGCAGCGAGCCGAGAAGAAAGTCCGTGAGTCGAGATCCGAGAAGTTCACGCCAAAGTGGTTTACTCTCACGGAAGATGTCAGTACGACGCCGTGGGGTGACTTGGAGATCTACGAATTCAACGGCAAGTACGCGGAGCACCGTGCCAAGGTCGAGGCGGAATCCAGCGGCGACAGAGTGGATCAGACAGGGATCACTTTCAACCCGTGGCAATACGACGACTCCTCGGTGCAAGCAGCCGCCGAGTAAAGAGCCATCCAAGAAGAACAGTCGCGTACGTAAAAACACTATCTCATATTTTATGCGTCTAGAGAAGAGATCTTCTAAAGTAACGATTTTTTTTTCTTTTGCCATTTTTTCACAACGTTGATGTTTCTATTGTTTTGTTTTGTATAGATGTTTATTGCTGCTATACAAATAGATGTACAGAACAATTGGGGAGTTAAAGAGGTGATACAACAAGAATAAAAATAAAAGAATGGTCTTCTTCTTCCTTTTTTTTCTTTTTCTTCTTTCGTTGGTGTTCAGCTTGAGAGTAGAGTTGGAGTCGAGAGAGTGAAGAGTTTTGATCTGTGTGGTGGTGTTGACGATGATGGCGATGACGATGTTAAGGTAAGCTAGTATTACTTCCAAGAGCTGCTAGCCTGGTGGTGTTGGATCATCTATATATCTATGTACACAGCCCAGCAGTACCTCACGAGGTAGTGGAAGTTAAGTTGCCGCGGTTGATTCGGCTTGTTGCTTGGCCTGCCTTGCAGTCCAGTAATCCTGTGCTTTGATCACTCGCTCCAGGAGTTCTTCCGGGACTGGCTCGCCCCTGCGTTGGTGGGGAGCGATCCGAGCAGTGTGCACGAGAGTTTTCCACTTGTCCTGTTAGAACCAGCAAGCGTTTATGAGACTTTGCGCGAGGGAGAAAGAAAAAACCGATGCTTTACCTTCAAGTCGACATAAGTGCGATGCTTTGCTTGATCAAATGCCCATAACTTCACGTCGCGCCACCTACACGAGACACGAGGCACACATGGAGGCTGGATAAGTAACAGGAATAAACAAAACGAAAAGAAAAAGCGAAAAGCCCATACCTTCCAAGGCCGAGTTTCTCCACGGCGAAGACGAGCGCTTCCACCTCGGCGATCGTAAACGGCCTCCGTATCCTCCTCTTCGTGCCTTCCAGCGACATTTGCTTTTGCAGCGACACCAGCGCCAGGCCCTGCGAGTTGTCCGCCGCGCGCTGCACTAGTCCTCCAGGGCCTTCGGCTTCTGAAAGAGGCAAAGCTCGCATCAGCGATGGACTGGTAGCCTCGCACTGCTTGATGTCCGGCTGTGGTGATGTGGTTTCCCCGAACCGTGCTTTATATGTTCTTTCATCAGTCACACTCTGGAACTTGTTCTTATAGCCCTGTAAAACCAGATGAGTACCAGTCCATTTCGCGTCAATGTCCGGCTTCTGCTCGGCGTTATCTTCCGTTTTCTCCTGATCTTCCACCACCCAGCTACCGTCGGCTGTGTACCTGTAGTTCAAACATGCGATTTAGCCACCATTTCGTTTGTAGTTCTCCTTACCATGATCCCTGCTGAGATAGCGCCAAAAGCGGCCCCTCACAGCTCGAGGAAGACGCCGGCTCTAGCATAAAGCCCAGCGATCCAGCCTTGCCATTCTGGGAAAGACCAACTTGGGCTAACGTGGCCTCTTCATCTGGGACTCTCTTCCCGTGCAAGAACACACGGATCTTCAGGCCGCCACCCAAGAGATTAGTAGTTGCGTCCAAAACCGCTTTCTGTGCACAGCAGGCACGAGGTTATTTCATGACGCGGAGAGGTATTTCAACTTGCCTTGAGGCTAGCCACCGTAGCGGACTCGGGCATATCAATGAGCAGCTCCGGAACCGTGAATGACTTGATGCTCAGTTTGACTGCTCCAA